GAGATGACCAAGAGGGACTCACAGGTGTAGAAAGCCTTGGCAATAGACACAAAGAACTCGGAGGGGAAAAGCAGGGCAATTGGAAAAGTTATCAATATTAATTACAGATCATAGTGTCTTTTTACTTTAACATTTACTACTAATGACATTTGTCCAATGAATACGGAAAATTTGGGAAATTATTTTTAAAGTGTTCTGAAAATCCTTAAAAAGAAATTTAAATTTTATGTTCTAATCAAGTTTTTGTCTTTTTTTTTTTTTTTTACTTTAAACTCTTGAAACACTTTGGAAAAGAAAGTTAGTTGTTAAAAAACTTCATTAAGAGGAGAAATCCAGTTAAAAATTGGAGGCTTAATACAGAATATTGAAATGTTATTTGGGCAAGCAGTTCTTTTCCAAGAAAGTTCTCTTTTTCTTTTTACCACTGTGAATACATTATCAGGTGGTCTTGCAGAGTTAATGTGCTGCTAGAGACGGTGTTGACTGTCTCTGTGGTTTAGCAACCGATTTGGAAAATGAACATAAATTCCTCTAAGAAGTCCTAAAGTTGATAAATCAATCGAAATCATTAATACTGAGTCACTATAATTTCACATTTAAATACCAACTGTGTTCTATTTAAAATATATATAAAACTGTAACTGACCAGCTTGAGGCAAACTTCCTCAGTTATCCTATATTCTGCTTTTGACAGCTGAAATAGAATTTTTGAGTCCATACCAATACAATAGTCATAAAAGTTAGGCTCTGTCTAAGAGACAGATTGCTAAATTCACCATGTTTCATAAGTAAATCAAGATCTGGTTTTCCGGGACTTAAGCCTGGTAGCACACACCTCTCTCACCCCCACTGGCCTCTCGGCCTCAGCTCTCTGGGATCCTCACCTACTTATCCCATCTCAGCCACCACTGTGACCAGCTCTGGGCTCTGACCTGTTTGACTTCATCCTGGGGTAACCTAAGAGCACCTCATTTCATGTCACTTCACATGCTTCTTGCTTCCTGACCCAAGGCTTTCCTTCTGCGGCTGGGGAAAGTCACTGTAGATCACTTGGTAGCCCTGATGTACATACAACTTGAAATGTGGTACAATTAACACCCCATGGAGTGAGACACACCTTTTACCAATGGGAGAGAGGAGTAAGAAATTAAATTCTTCGCTTTAACTCTTCCTGGAGGGACTGTCTTCAGATACATGCTTCTTAAGGCCTCTCATAAGATAATCCCACAAGGTAGAGCAATCAGTTGTTTCTAACGCCAAGCAGTGACCAGCATCAGTCAGGTGCCCTTGAACTTGATCTCCTTAAGTTTTTGTTTCACACCTCTTTTTCCTCATTTATAATTAAATGTTGGCACATTTAACCCAGGCTAATGAAACCAGTGAAGTTGCTAAAAGCAAGTAGTAGAGAGCTCTCAGCCTATGATGTAAAGGCATTCCCCGCCACTTTGGAAAGGTAGAAATTCTGTTCCTCTGGTCCCCATAAAGTGTAAGGGAAAGGAAGACAGGTAAGAAAAGTAGATGGTCAGATGCATGTATACCCTGACTCTTCCATTCTGGTCTGAAATCCTGAGTAGGGGGTTGTTAGGTCTGATGAGAATAAATCTGAAAGCACAGGATTATTTCTCCACATTGCCCATTAGTATCTCTGGCTGGAGACCAATGTGGACACGTGCATAAAACATCACGGCAGGGGAGGCGAGGAGAAACACATGTTGAAGAACTGAGTTGACCCGACAACAGACGAGCCTGAGGCAGTTCTCGTGCTCCTTTCTGCCTCCATGTTTTCTGGAAGGGATACAGATGATTCCACATGCCCCTAGATGGTGGTAGTGGATGCAAAGGTTAGAAAAGTAGGGTACAGCTTTCACAGGGAATCACTGGTGCAGCCTGGAACCTAAGGGCTTCTGGGAGTCCAACCAGGCCAGAGATCAAAACGAAATATACCGCCATATCCCAGAGACGTTCATAGCCCCAGGAAGGGTTAGTTTAGATGAGGTCGAGATACCAGAGATGTATAACTGATGCTGACTAAATATAATGAGAGAAGAGGCTTTCCACGGCCCCTTACTTCAGGATCAAAGACGAGACAGGTCCTGCAATAGTTCCTGAGAGGCCAAATCTCAGCAGGTAACAGCCAGCCCTCACCAAGGACACAGCAAGTCTCACAGGCGAGACCGCCCCATGGCCCAGGAGGAGAGGACATGAAAAAGAGGCTCTTTAAACCAGGCAAGACTACAATATCTTCAAAGGAAACATTTCGATTCATGTAGTCCTCACATACATATATAACTTCACCTTTCCCACTACCCGAGTCTCTCATTGCTGCTAATTAAGAATATTAAGCTAATCATAAAATAATATATAAGTTCCTTATTCTTGGTTCAACTGTTTAGGAGAAAAATAGACTTGTGACCCAGTAATGTATTTATGCATACTATTATCAGAATAATGCCAGTCTCCCTTATTAGACTGTAAATCCATCTAGGTAGAAATTTCATGTACAGCTGACCCTTGAACAACGTGGAGGTTAGAGGCATCGACCTTCAGCACAGTCAAAAATCCATGTATAAATTCTGACTCCCCCAAAACTTAACTACTAACAGCCTACTGTTGACCGGAAGCTTTACCAATAACATGAACAGTCGATTAACACATATTTTGTATATTATATGTATTATAGACTGTACTCTTATAATAATGAAAGCCAGAGAAAAGAACAACGTTATTAAGAAAATCATGAGGAAGAGAAAAATACATTTACTATATTTATTGAAAAAAATCCACATCTAAGTGGACCCGTGCAGTTCAAACACATGTTGTGCCACAGTCAACTGTATTTGGCTCATCACTGTATCACCAATATCTCGCTCAATGTCAGGCACATTGTAGGTCGTGAGTAAGGGATAATAATAATGATGTAGGCAGCCTATCACGAGTTCTAGCCAAAGCAAATCCAAGTCTAGGGCATTCATAACCCAGCATTTCTCTGAGTAAGTAGCCAACAGAAATGACTGCCTATGTACCCCCTAAAGATGAGTATAATAACATTCATGGACTAATTATTTATTATAGCCAAAACTTCAGGCAACTCAAATATCTACCAGAAATATAACGGACAAATCATGATAGGTTTATACAAGGTAATGATATGAAACAATTAAAATTAACGAAATAGAGCTACATGTAACAACCAGAGTGAATCTCACAAACACAGTAATGAACTAAGAAGGAAAATAGAAAGGGATGCACACTTTGTGTGTGTGTGTGTGTGTGCGTGTGTACACATGCCTACATATAAATTTTGCAATTCTGAATGTATTTATTCACATACTTTTAAATATTCATTATTTCTTCAGAGAATTGAGATTGCAAAGGAAGACTCTATGAGTCATTTACTTCATAAATTATGTGAAATCTTGGCATTTTGCATCGCATAAAAGGGTAGACTTTGCAATATTCCTGCTTTTGTCTAGTATAATAGGAAATCTCATTTCCCATTGTCTCCTTTCTAAGTCACAGCCCTTGTTCTTTAAAAGCGATGAATGTGTGTAGAGAATAATATTAATAATTATCATTTATTGTACTCTTACTACAACTCATGGCTTCTGCTAAGCATTTTGCACATAGTATTTCCTCTTCACAGCAAACCTGTGAGCTTTGCATTAGTGAATTTGTTTTATACATTATAAATCCAAATTCCAAAAAATTTAAGTATACTGCAAAGTTTGCAAAGCAACTGTTGGCAGTACTTTATAAAACCCAGCTCTATCTGAACTCAAAATCATGTGTTTTTACCCTTTTTTCTGTTGTGGAGTAACATCTACATAACAGATATCCTTACAAAAGGGATGTATTACTAAAAAAAAGTCCATTTATTTTCCTCTTTAAAAACACTTTTTACCAAAAAGCACATCATTTTAAAAGTTGAATGTTTCCTTTTGATACAGTTTAAATATTTAGGAGGTTTAATTTGGTATATAATTTAAGGACAAAATATTCAAAAACATTATATATCCTTTTCCACTACTGCTGAGCTGTTTTCTATTGCTTCATAATTAAGTGTTGGAGTTTCATGTTTGATTAAAATGGTTCTTTAGCTTACCTCAAATTTCTTCATTTAAAAAGTAAATTATTTCTGATAATTTATTAGTATCATTGGTCAACTAGTCATCACAATTACAGTTTATTCTTATTTGCCAGAATGTTCTAAGTTTTGGTCATTTTCCATAGGAGACAACAGACCACCAAGGAGAGAAATTACATCATGTTTTCAAGGAGTCTCAGTGACTTCCATTCTGCCCTGTTCCTCTAGGCGCCACCATGCATGCATCTCCACCTACACTCCCCAAGCAGAGAAGAGGGGCATAGAGAATGCTCCAATATGTCTATATATTTATCAGCAAGACATACTTTGCAGTTTTCTTCTTGTTGTTAGTTGCATCACAGTTATGCCCTTAATTCTTTTCTTTGAAGTCATCACGGCTCCTGCTCATCGTAATTTAAGTTGATTATACCTTAGAAAGCATCACTATCAGAGAAATATGTAGGCATATAATCAAATACTTTCAATATAGACTTATTTTTGAAGGAGATGACAGTTGCTAAGTTTAAAATATTTAACTAACTACTATGTTATCCATCTTTCCCAACTCCCATATCTTAAATATCCTGCCAGTACCTTGCTTTATTCCACAAAATTTTGTCTACAAGTCATGATTATGGAATAAAAAATATACAAATATACTTCCTCTTATTCAGAATATTTCACATAACCATGTTAAAAGTGTGCACACTATGCAGATAGTTGGAAGACCTTTTCAATTTCTTGTGTAGCACTGATTGAGGGGGACAGCAGAATGGGCTGTCTTGGAAAGCGGTCACAGGAAAATTTCAAGACGATGAAAAGGATGCACTCGCGTGTCTGCGTATCCTGAGCAGATGCTGATGAGGTGACTTTGCAGGTCCCTCGGACTCTGCCATTTCACTCTTCTATAAGGCTTTCACGAAGTCCTCTGCTTTTCAAGCATCCTCTTCAGGGCAGCTTTGACTTCTTTGCTCCTCAGACTATAGATCAGGGGATTGAGCATGGGGTTGCAAAGGCTGTGAAACAGGAGGAGATATTTCTTCTGCTCCTTGGGGCCCCCATGTCGGGGCCCGACATACATGACAATGGCTGTGCTGTAAAACAGTCCGACCACACAGAGGTGGGAGGAGCAGGTGGAGAAGGCTTTCTGGAGCCCCTCCCCTGACTGCATCTTTAGGATGGCATGTAGAATATGAAGGTAAGATACCACGATTGAGGAGAATGGTCCCACCAGCACAGACACTGCCCCAGCCAAAACCATCATCTCATTAATGTGGGTGTCTGCACAGGCAAGCTTGAGAACGGCTATAATTTCACAGAAAAAGTGATTAACTTTCTGGGGTCCACAGAAAGGCAAGGGTAGGAGTAACACCAGATGTACCAGGGCCAGGAGGGAGCCACATGCCCAGGAAGTCACCGCCAGGGTGATGCAGGCTCTCCAGCTCATGATGACAGAATATCGGAGTGGGTGGCAGATGGCCACATACCGGTCATAGGACATCACCACCAGGAGAAGACATTCGGTGTGAGCAAAAGTCAAAAAGAGAAAGGTCTGTGCCATGCAGCCCGCAAAGGAGATGGGCTGGGCTGGATTCAGGAGGTTTACCAGCATCTGCGGCACCGTGGTGCAGGCATAGGTGATGTCCACAGTGGCCAGGTGTGAGAGGAAGAAGTACATGGGGGTGTGCAGTCGGGAGTCCAGCAAGATGAGCCCCAGGATGGCCCCGTTCCCCAGCAGGGTGAAGGCGTAGCACAGGGAGAAGAGCCCGAAGAGGAGCAGCTGGGTCCTCGGGCTGAGCGGGAATCCCAGGAGGAGGAACTCTGTGACAGAGGACTGATTTTCCTCCATTTCCTGGGAGAGAGACAATGGAGCTCACCAATTCTGAATGTCTGAGGGGAGTGTTTGAACATGGTGAATCTGTGTCATTGCTTATTTCTGCAGAAAACATCTTTAATGATATTTCTGTCGTCTTAGTCACTTACTAAGTGAAAACTACGCATTCCAAATGAAACAGAAGGAATTTTTTTTCCACTGGGATAAACTAAATGCTAGTCTTCTATGATAATATTCAGCAAATCTTACCTTTATTTCCAAACCAACTATCACCATAGTTCAAAATATGTTAATACTTAAATTGGCTTCATAGCAGTGGGCACTTGCCTCACTTTTTGATGACGCATCAGTTTGCTGTGTGTCTTCCATACCGCACTGTACACATATCCACATATGTGAATGTGTGCTATTGTCATATATATATATATATATATACACACACACACACACACACACACACACACACACACACACACACACACACACTAGGGGTGCCAAAAAAATGTGTACAAGTGGACACTTTGGTCAGCCTTGCTCAAGCAGTAGTTCGCCATAATCAGGAGTGTCTGGATGCTGATGGGAACCACTCTGAGCACCTCTTGTAATTGCAGAAGTCAAACGTGACTTGTATTCATTTTTTGTTATAGGTATATATTATTACAATTTTAATACATTTTTCCTTTCTTAAAATGTGTATACATTTTGGGGGCACCCTATGTGAGTGTGAGTGTGTGTGTGTGTGTGTGTGTGTGTGTGCATAAACACACACATGTGCAAGGTACTTGGTATTTTCTACTCTATTTCATTAGTAAAAATGCTAGTTGGATGATTTCATGATGGGTCATAGCCTGGGATTTAAAAAACATTGATCTATAGTCAAGGCTAGAGCTAAAGCTCTAACTATAGACTTATACACTAGAATCTTTAACATATTTTATAGCTTTACTCTAATGTAAAAAAATATTCTTTATCATGCATCTTTAGGTTTTTGTGGCTTATCAATTTAAAAAAAAATACTGCTACCACAGAGTGGGTATCCTGAGGTTTGAATCACTGTTAACTTTTGAACCATTGCTTCTTTTTTCTTGTCTGTCTGACTTTATACCCTTTTTCAGTCCAGAATCCACCTTAAATTCTGAAATAAGAATCTCAGAAAATTCATAATTAAGTTCCTATCTATCAGTTCCCCATTCACATTTTCTGATAAGTTAATATTTGAAAGGTTTTATAAGCAAAAGTGCAAAGGTTTTATCCTGCTTCAAAGGAAGAATTGAAATTCACAATAAAAATTATTGGGAGATGATTTTATCTTACTCCAAGTAATAATTTCATCACAATGGGAATCATTTCCTTGAAGAAAATTGGTTGTTTTATTAGGAATGAACTCTATGTCAATGAATAATTTAAATCAGAGATTGATTAACCACCTATTCAAGATGGGACTCCTGTGTTATGTGAGAAGTTAACTAGGAGAATGGTAAGGTCTCTGCCAACTATAGAATTCATTGGCCCTAAATGTATAAAGAAGTGTTAGCCACTTTCATTTCAACCGTCCCACAACATTTGGGACTGACAAAGACAGCAATGCTATTTCTAAAATGGCATATAACAAAGGTACACAATAAAGTAAAATGGAAGGACCAAGTGAGGGTCACCTCATCTTCCTCCTTGTCTGCAAATAACTAAAACGCTAAACTTAAAATCCACAGATATCTACTAAACATATTCTATGTCTTACTACATGTCTCGGCTGAGGACATACAAGACAGTTCCTGTCTGCTGGTGTATATAACCTGCTTGGAATGACAAGGCTGTTAAAAGGACTCAAAAGATAATTCTCATATTTAAATAACTCACCAAAAGGAAGTTCACATCAAAAATAAACACTTCAGGACACTTTTCTGTAGTAAATTCATTTTGTGGTCAATTAGGTCCATTATGTCATGAAAATATGCCTTAATTTCATGAGGCAATAGAAAGTTCTGAAGCCAATCTCTCAAACAGCTGTTTTATCTTATTATTTAAACATGAAATTCAAAGCTAAATACGTGAAAGTGAATGATCCATATCAGCTGTAGCTAAGAGCTAACTTTTAGATTACCCTATTACCTAAGTCTATAAAGAGAGGACATCTAGAATTGACAGGCATCCACGGTTACATTTTTGCATTGTGATTTTTTTCATCCCACCTGATCTATAACTGCATAGTGAACAAACTGTATAGTGAATAATGTAAGAAACTTACCACAGACTGATAGCTAAAAACAAGAAGAAAAGCTGAACATGACTTGGGTTAAGCAAAAATACTCCAATAAAGTGAATAGTATCTGTGAGGTACTATGAAAATTCCTGTCTTGCAAGGATCTCTTAGGAGAAAAGGTGCCCCAACAGAGGCGACGGGATTCCTCTCAGAAGAGATGGTTTATTTGTTACTTAGCTGAGCCGCCTCTCAATCTTCCGAGTGCTGCAGGGGAAAGATAAGGATCCAGCAGCACGCTGCCATCTCGTTCCTTCCTGGTAAAGCGGCTCTCGCAATACTTGCCTCTGGTTTTCTCTAGAGGGACATTTATGACAGGACAGTGATGTTGATGATGATGATTCCTTCACTCACGTAGGCTCCACGATCATAAACTTAGGCGCATTAGAATGACTTCTAGGACTGCTTCATACATTACAATTAGCACACGCTTGGATTTATTACGGCTTCAAGAACTCTAACATTTCCCCACCCATTAACCCTCCAAACAGATTAAGGGTGGTGGAGCCCATGTACTTTCCCATCCTCTCTAGTGCCGGCTGACTGTTATGTTACACCTGACCCGAACATGGATCCTATATATGCTTCCCATCAAGTCGCCACCAGGAATGCAATTCAGAAAGTAAGGCCAGGTAGTAGGACCTATGGAAGCGATGGGGAAGGTGGGAAGGAGTCAGAAAGAGGATAAGGCGTCCCAACGGGACTTGTTAAACCCTGTTTTGCAGTAGTGCCAAAAGGGAAGGAAAACTCCCATCAGGAAACAATCTCAATTTCATCATTTCCACAGATTCTCAGCCAAGGCGGAAAGACAGTTTCCCCTAGGACTGACTGGAACCACTACTGAAATGGAGACTTTCCTCGCTATACAGTTCTAGGGGAGGCAAGGGAGACAACGGGTGGTGTCTTTGTAATTTAAATTTCTCTTGCTGTTATCTACATCTAGTCATATACTCAAATATAAAGGAGGTAGAAGATAATTTCCTAAATTAAAGTTATTTTAGCATACATGCCAACCAACTAAGAAAATAATAAAGCGATTAGTTTTTACCTGGAGAGCAGGTTCAGGGACCCAGAGCAGAGGTTGGGGTGATGAGACTCTAAGTCAGAGGAGTTGGGGTTCAGACTTAAACCTCTGAGGAGAAGGTGCCTCCCAGCCGCACTGTCGCCCCCAATGGGTAGGAATGAGGCTGAAGTTGGAAATTAAAAGCTGGGGAGACCAGCGCTAACCAGCTGCCACTGCCAAGGCAAAGAGTTGTTGGGGCGATGCTGACAAGAACCGCAGGCAGACAGGAAGGCTCAAGGCCCCTGGCCCCATCCCAGGCCCTGCTCTCCTTTAGAGCTCCCGACCTGCACAACCTCAGCCACTGCAAGCCGCTAAAATCAACAAGCCAAATGGCCCAACTGGGAGAAGCTACACTGTAAGCCTGGATACCAGATGCTGGGGTTTCCAAGTTTATCGATACAGAATAACATCTACATTACTCATACTGAAAGCTAATTCAAGGATGCACACAAGAATTGTTGAAAAAAGACGAAGTAGAGGATGAGGTTTAGGTGTGATGCCCAAATAGGTTTGCTAATTCCTTACCCTGAATTGAATTTACTGCCTAGTCATTCGCAGCACTATAAAATCCCAGGCCTTAAAAAATACTCATACACACCGGGAGCCCAGCTCCAGAGACCGACTTAATCTGTGAGAGACCAAGCATCAGGGTTCTTTAAAGCCCCCAGGTTCAGCCAAGGGCAAGGACCACTTTTCGTGGTTATCTTTTCCTTTTCACTTTTTCTCTTCCTTAGTCTTTGCTTTTTCATTCCTTCAAAGATTTGCATTTTAACTCATGGTTTCCATTGTCTTCATCTTCTCTAGGTTGATCTTCTCTACAAGCTGCACTGATCGATTTTGTTGCTGATCTAACAGATTGATAGAGAGCAGCGTGTTTTCTTTTAGGGTCATTAATTTCCTTCTATGTGGGCTTATCCTTCTTCAAGTTTTTTATGACATTCGCTGAGTGCTTATGCATTTAAGGCACGGGCTAAATGCTGTCATTATTGTCTCCATGGTTAACAAGCTATAGACTACAAAATATGATTTTTGTATTTATTTCCTCTCCCAGGTGCTATCTCAAGAATCCTTCTACACTTCAGCTATATAGACACTGTAAAAGTTTATGTAGGATTCTTACACTTTTATCTCCCAGCAATAACAATGAAAACCATTTTAGACCCAGCCTCCTGTGCATTCTTTCAACCTCTTTGACTGAGGCTTTCTCTAAAACAACCAACAAAAACAACAGTTTTTTAATGGTAAACGTTGCCAGCACTCAAATTCAATCTTACTGTGTGATCATTTTCATTCTCAGTATACCCATTTCATCAAAATTATGTATGTATAGATATATTTGTGTGTGTGCACATGTGCGACACGTGCCTATGTATACACATATGTGTGTGTGTGTATACATATTGTCAAGCTGTATTCACACAACTTATATCATTTAATATTGATAAATGTTAGGTGAGGTACCTAGTTAAAACACTGTTATCCACATCTGAACGAAGATAAAACCCAGGATTGGGAAGGCTACATTATGTTTAGAAGCAGACCTATTTAGTAAGCTGTGGCACAGCTGGAATGTGAATCCAAATAGTAAGCCCCTCAATTTAACCCCCTGCTGGGTTCTTGTTTTCTTCAGTCCTATCAGCCAAGAGCAATGGTGAGGTAGGTCCATCCCGAGTCTATACGCAAGACAGGGAGGAA